CTGTGTGCGGCTCTGCTGCTGCCGAACCTGGTGTTCCTCTTGGACTCGTGGATTGCTTTGTATGACATAAGAGGCCTCTGCATCTCAGTGGCTATATTTCTGCATTATTTTCTCTTGGTCTCGTTCACTTGGATGGGCCTGGAAGCATTCCATATGTACCTGGCCCTTGTCAAAGTGTTTAATACTTACATCCGAAAATACATCCTTAAATTCTGCATTGTTGGTTGGGGTATGTATAATTTTTGCTCACACAGTGCCTGGGTTTTCTGTGCTTTGTCTCCAGTGTTTTGATTTTTAATCAGATAGAGACATTGATGAAGAAGGTCATACTTGGCAGGTTTCTAAAACAGCTTTATTCTCCTTTTCATGTTTCACTGCCCAGAGAGCAACCTCGTCAAGTCTCTTTCTAGAACACCTGTATATTTACCCTGGATTGGTTATGACCACAACACTCTGAGGTTAGGGCTATGAATCCTCTTTGTATCTCCAGTAACTAGAACTGGGGCTGGCACACAGAAGGTGCTCAATCAATTGAAAATATTAGCTTGGTAATAATGAGGCCAGACTGTCAGTCCCCAAGCTCCCAGCCAGCCTCACTCTGCTCTGTACCTCCCAGGTTCACTCACACATGTGCACGACAGTGTGCTCAGCAGGGCAGAGTGAGAGAACGTACAGATAAAAGCTAATGTAACTTTGTCACCACACCGGCCCGGTATTTCAGATCATGCCACCTGTCAGTGGTGCATCACAAAGTCTTAGACGCCCCCAAGATCTTGAAGGTTTATTCATTCAACTCCCCACCAAATGTAGGAGCCTCCTGGGCTCGACTTACCCTTGACTAAAGACAATTTAACCTCTGCTTGAATTTTTCTATTGTTGGGGAGCTCATTACCTTCATTAAGAAACAAAATTCAGCTGAGTACATTTGAAAGATCTTACTGGCTTTATTCACAATTCATGAATCAGGCAGCATCCCGTCTAGCAGACAGAAAGGAGCTCTGAGGAGCTGTACCAAGTGAAAGACTTTTTACAGGCAGAAGGAAGCAGGAATAAGGAAGTCATTCTGGGCAATAAAGCGGATTGGTTATTGCAAGGTTACTTTCCTTCAGGGGTGGCAGGGGTCTATCAGGCAGGTTACCTACCTAGTGCTGATAAGGTGATTTCGGATTGACTGGTTTAAGATTCCATTTCTGGGAGAGCCGAAGACTTAACTCTGTAATGGAGTTAAGTCTCAGTTTGGTGACCTGTGGCTAGCATAAGCGAATCCATTTTGGGCCTGTTGTCTCGTTTTTAGTACCTTACAAGGCAGCCAATGACCATCTTCTAAAGCTCTGCAGGTCTGTTTTTCCATTAAGTTCACTTGGCTCTCTGGTGGCACTTACCCAGCGGTCTTGGTTTTGCTCTCTCAGGAAAAAAAATAAGAAGCTGATACTTCTGCCAAAGAGTCCTTTAGATAATCTACATGTAATATATATGTATAATGCTCTATTTCTCAATGTATTTTCACACAAGTAACCCCATAAGAGACAAGTCAGTGAAGTTAGCAAGGCAGTTATTGCTAATACCAGGTGAAGAACCTGGCTCAAAGTGATGACGTGATTTACCCTAATTTCCACAGCTCGAGAACAGCCGAGGCTGGCTTTCTAATTTCTTCTTTTTTTTTTTTTTTTGGCGTTACGCGGCCCTCTCACCGCTGTGGCCTCTCCCGTTGGGGAGCACAGGCTCTGGACGCGCAGGCTCAGCGGCCATGGCTCACGGGCCCAGCCGCTCCGCGGCATGTGGCATCTTCCCAGACCGGGGCACGAACCCGTGTGCCCTGCATCAGCAGGCGGACTCCCAACCACTGCGCCACCAGGGAAGCCCTCTAATTTCTTATGCATATCCATTCCACTGTATTATAGCCGCCATCCCTCCCAGACTCCCTCTTCTTCAGGCTAAATATTCTTTCAGGGACTTCCCTGGCAGTCCAGTGGCTAAGACTTCGCCTTCCAATGCAAGGGGTGCAGGCAGGTTCAATCCCTGGTTGGGGAGCTAAGATCCCACATGCCTCGGGCCAAAAAAAACAAAAAACAAACAACAGAAGTGATATTGTGACAAATTCAATAAGGACTTTAAAAGTGGTCCGCATCAAACCATACTTTAAAATATATGTATATTAAATAAATAAATAAATATTCCTTCAGATATTCCCTATGCAATAGGATTGCAGACCCTTTTCCTCCCTTGTCATCCTGCTTGTTATTATATCTTTGTGAAGAGTAACAGAACAACACCTTTCTAGAAAGTCACTTATTCCCAGAAAAAGAAGTCACCGCCTCTGATCTTGGGCACGGGTTCCGTCTTCTTTGTACAATCCTGAATGGTCAGATTCCCTTGTCAAGGAAAAGCTCCACACCCCCAGTATTTTCTTTTTAGGAAGGTGTCTCACTTAGGAAGTCACCATATGTCAGGGTCTCCGTAAGGTACAAATACAAAAGAATTAAATGAAATATTATGTTAGATGGTACCAGGTAGCCCAACCTGGCTGTGAGAAGGAATTGTTTTTTATTTACCAGAGCCTTGAGATTGTATGCCAGGCTGGTCTGTGTGCACAGAGTGTGAAGTGTCAGCGTGGGGTGGGGAGTGATGGGGTAGAGGGGTGAGACGGACTCCTTCCCAGCCCAAGGTCACTTTAAGCGCGGAGGAGCCTTTTCATTATGCTTCCTCTTAGCCCAAGCGCCCTGGGAGAGCCAGTGAGAGAGCCAGTGTAGTGGCAATCAACACTCCCAAATCAATCAGGTCAGGCATCTCAGTCCATCAACGGGTTCCAGATAATCAGTTGAGGACTTTGGGGTTCATAATGAAAGATTTTCCAGAAGTTGCTGGTAACCCTAACAGGTTGATTCTTTGGCGTAGATTTTGGAGTCCTTCACTTTGCCTGCCACCTGACCCTTAAAATTACATTCCAGATGGGTGTAAGTTAAGGCTAACACTAGCTACCATAGCAGACAAACCCTGAAATGTCAGGAGCAGGTAATGTCTTACTCGGGTGCAGTCCAGTTAGCAGAAGTGGAGGGGTCTCTGGTCTTGTAATTTTTCAGGAGCCAAGCTGCTGGAGACTCTGCCTCAAGACAGGGCTTCCAAGGTCACTCTGAATTGGGGAGAAAAGAGTAGAGAATCTCACTGGAGGTTTTTATGGGCTAGGCCAAGAGGTGGAGCAAATCACTTCTGTCCATGTTCCATTGGCCAAGACCTAGTCAAGTAGCCACATACACGTAGCTGTAAGAGAGGCTGGGATATGGCCAGCCACATGCCGGGAGGAAGAGAAACTGGGTTTGGTGAACAGCTCACCAGTCTCTATTTCAGAAGAAAATAGAACATGATCTCTATTCTTTCTTCTCACCAACTTTGGTTATTAGAACTGTGTGTGACCAATGTTTCCCATCTTCCAGGGGTACCAGCTGTGGTTGTGACCATTGTCCTGATTATATCTCCAGATAACTATGGACTTGGATCCTATGGGAAATTCCCCAACGGGTCACCTGATGACTTGTGAGTACAAAGCCCCCCACGGAATGTTAAGTGAACTGGAAAGCAGAATTCTCCAAGAAAATGGAGACTCTAATCAGCATATCAGCTGGCTCTCATCCTAATAAAATCCAGTAACATTTACAGCAGGCTTTGCAGTCATATATGTAATGAGATCAGCTAGTTAGAAAAGCCATGCTACTATGTAAGTATTAAAAAAATGAATTAGGAGGAAGTATTTTGAAAATACTTTTATAAGCCTCTGATAAAAATAAAATACCAGCTACACTATATTAGTAAAGACTCATGGAATAGAGTTACTAGGATCTAAAGGGGATAAAATCTTTTAATGTCTTCAAAGAATATTTTTAAAATACTTTCAATCACCAAGTGTCCTAAAATAAACCCTCTTGGAGTTTTTCCCCTAGAGCTATAAATGGCTGTGGAGATCAGAGGTTTTATCTTTTTTTTCTCTTGTAATTGTAGGAAAATGTTTCAGTAAAACAATATAGATTCATTGTTATCATTTTGAACCATATTTCAGCAAAAAAAACCCATAATATGTTTTCCCTGTTTTTTTTCCCCCATTTCCAGTTGCTGGATCAACAGCAATGCTGTATTCTATATTACGGTTGTGGGATATTTCTGTGTGATATTTTTGCTGAATGTCAGCATGTTCATTGTGGTCCTGGTTCAACTTTGTCGAATTAAAAAGAAGAAGCAACTGGGAGCCCAGCGAAAAACCAGTATTCAAGATCTCAGGAGTGTCGCTGGCCTTACGTTTTTACTAGGAATTACTTGGGGCTTTGCCTTCTTTGCCTGGGGACCAGTTAATGTCACCTTCATGTATCTCTTTGCCATCTTTAACACCTTACAAGGTAAGCTCTGCAGCACTAAATACACACTGAATGACCCAGTCGAACTGAAAAATATTGCTACTAAAAGTTAGAGTATCTGCAAAGTGGCTTACTTAGTAGCTTAAGATATAATCATTGAAAAACAGATTTAACTTTGAGAAAGGGTGCTCTGAGAGCCTTGGAAGAAAGGCTAAATTGGTTAAATTCAAGAAGTGGTCCTTTTTTCCTCCTTATCCATCACTACCTCCTGGGAGGGAACAAACGTATCAAGGGGAACCTACCAGGAACTGTTTCTGGGAGAGTCAATCACTCTTCCTTCACCTGGTTCCTTACCTTTTTTTCCTTTAACTTTTTTATTGAAGTAGAACATGCATACAGAAAAGCGCACATACCCGTAAGTGTCCCGGTGAGGTCTCACCACTCTGACCTCCTAGGTCTGTGTTTGATTTGAAGACAATGATAAATGTGAAGTCAATGGCAGCAGCCTGGCCCAGTGCTTAATCCCACGCAGTTGCTCTGCCCTGACATGCAGCGGGAAGGGCAGGCTCTGTGTGTGACCCTTGACCTCGGAGCTTCCCCTTTGTTAATGAAGCCCAGCTGCAGTCATTTGGGAACCCTCTTCCATTGTATTCTTTTTTTTTCCCTTTGGTCTGATTGTATTCTTTAGGAAAGCAAATTACTCATTCTTCTAGATCAGCATTATAAAAGAGTTGTCAGCTGTGATTAATTTTTTTTCAATTTTTTTTTTTTTTTTTTTTTTTTTTGGTTGTCTTCGTTGCTGCGCACGGGCTTTCTCTAGTTGCGGCGAGCGGGGGCTACTCTTCCGTTGCGGTGCCCGGGCTTCTCGTTGCGGTGGCTTCTCTTGTTGCGGAGCACGGGCTCTAGAGTGCAGGCTCAGTAGTTGTGGCGCACGGGCTTAGTTGCTCTGCGGCATGTGGGATCTTCCCAGACCAGGGATCGAACCCGTGTCCCCTGCATTGGCAGGCAGATTCTTAACCACTGTGCCACCAGGGAAGTCCCAGCTGTGATTAATTTTTCATGGACGCACTTTGGCATTAAAAGCGGAGCAGGCTAATAAGTTTACGTTACAATAACAATCATTCGTGTCCCTTGGTTTCCTTTTACTCCAAATCCTCTGTGTTGATGCCTTTTAATTGCATTCTCATCCACTCGTTTTCATCTTTTGCTGGTGGCTTTTAGCTCCCAGAGCATTCTCCTGTAGTTCTTTCAGGCAATATAGTTCATTAAGCTGAGATTGAATTCAAATGCCTAATTTGGCTACCGGTTCTTATTTAATTTGGAGGAAGCCAGTTAATGTGCTTGCTGGGTACATACAGTTGTTCATTTTTACCTACAATGTACAGTTCCTGAACTGGTATATCCAGGTGTTGGACTACTTATAAAAGTTTTATTTGCCAACAATGGCATGCTAAAATGAGAGACACTTATTTTAAAGAGAAAAAATATATGCCCAAATCACACCAATCGTAAACAATGAAAGCAAGGTACCTACCTTCGCATATTTACTGTGGAAACTGAACCTGTCTCTTTTTCATTTCCCTAGAATGACTTCTCATTAGAATATGAGTGGGCAGAAAGGATGTATTGTTTCATTTATAAAAGGGAACTAAAGCCTAATTCACAGGGCTTTGGGGTTGATAAAAGGAGAGATGTATACAGGTTCTGATTTGGGCCTTGGGTACCCCCATTTTGATCTCTCCCCTAATGCAACCAAGTGTAGCTGCCCAGGGTGGCAGGTGGACAAAGGTGTGCAGTACTCGAGATATCAGTCTTCAGGCTGGGCACGTGTACCCTACTAGAGGCAAACCTGATATTTTAACATGAAGGTTTTAAAGTAGATAGATTGGGGGCTGGGGAGAAGGAGAACTCAATTCGCCCATTCATTCTGCTAATATTTGTTTGCGTTCAAAGCCTTGGGGAGTGGTAGCGAGGGGGCTGTGTGGGGAGCCCTGTGCCTGCATGCAGTGGGGGGTGGAGGCAGAGCCTGAGGGCCTCTTCCCGTCTGTAGTGTTGCTCTCTTTGTGGCCAGGACACCACTGGAGAATTTCCTTGAGCCTGTCACCGGGAGGCTGGAAGGTAGACAAGGCTATGGCTGCAGTGCCCCAGGCTTCGCAGGAAGAGGGGAAGGCCCAGGGAAGGGATGTGGCTGTGGACTGGAGAGGAGGAGGGAGGGATGTGAGACAAAGGAGGAGATGGCATTTGACAGAACTTGGAAATCGATTGTGCATATGGAGGGACGGGGAGGTAGGAGCTGTGGACTGAAATTAAAAAAGCACAGGGACTTCCCTGGTGGCCCAGTGGTTAAGACTCTGCACTCCCGATGCAGGGGCCCTGGGTTCAGTCCCTGGTCAGGGAACTAGATCCCACATGCCGCAGCTAAGCCCTGGTACAGCCAAATAAATAAATATTTAAAAAAAAAAAAAAAAAAAAGAACAGTGTGACCACTAATTAGCAAATGGAAAAAGATAATTAGGGGCCCCAAAGAAGGCTGAATTATTAAAAATGCTTCTTCAGTTTCAACAAACAAATTCAAAAAAAAAAAAAAAAAAGCACAGTGTGAGAGCTGTGAGTTTCAATTTTCTTTGGGGGAATATAGTCCTGGAGACAGCCGCTCAGAAAGCTCTGAAGAACTGCTCCGAAGAGGTAAGGGGGGAGATCAGCATATGTGTGAGTTTGGAGAAGGGGTATATACAGTCAAGCACACATCTCGGCAGAAGGTTACTGCTTGTCACAAGGCACAGATATCTTAGTTAATGCTTTTAGTGCTTTTCTAAGTGTGGGAAGATGCAAGAAGCTGGGTTCATAAAGTTTTCTCCTGAAAATACCTAACTATCCGAAGGCCTTTTCTACCAGTTTTCCCAGAGCACAGAGTGCCTCATGCCTGATCTCCATCCTGAAATCCTTTCAGGGTGTGTTGAATGTCAGTGACTGCAGTGGCTTATGACTCAATCCTTGTAGAGCTGGATGGCCAGCAACATTCTTTAGTTGGCAGAGCCTAGGTCTGAGCTGGCATCCTGGGTAGATGGCTCGTAATTCCAAAGATAGGGAAGGCCAATGACAGGATGTGAGAGGTGAGACAATGAGTTTAATTTTGGACATAAGGAGTGATATTCTTTTTACAAGTTTTTTTTTAATCTTACAAAGAGAGTCCTCCCAGGGTGCCTTTCGATAGCAAACTTTCCCAGGACTTCGGGCTTTATTTTCAATCTGCAAAATTTCATTTTGCCTATGGCTGCCAAAGATTTTATCTTTTGTGCAGAGTAAGCTCATGACATTCAAGTCTTAGTTTGGAATTCATTGTGTTATGCTTTTTCCCCCCTCCCCATAGGATTTTTCATATTCATCTTTTACTGTGTAGCAAAAGAGAATGTCAGAAAGCAGTGGAGACGGTATCTGTGTTGTGGAAAGTTACGACTGGCTGAAAATTCTGGTACATATTTACCTTACTTTTTCTCCCTCTCTTAAAGCTTGAGGAAAAGATTGTATAAGTTAAGATCCAAAGCAATTAATGCCAAAGGAATATCGGATCTGGAAATCAATGAATGGAGCCTGCTCAACACAAAATATCCGTTGTGAACATTAGGGAAAAAAACCTAGTGAATTGAAAACCAATTACTCACATCTGGGAACTTAGTGAGCAATAGAATTAGTGGCCTGGCTGCTTCCTGAATGAAGCAACAGTGAAATTTTTAGAATTCATTTCCTTTCGAGTGCATGCTTTCCATTTGTCCAAAGAAATTTTTAATATTTACCTCCCTAACTTTTTAAGTTTTGACTCAACCTTTTTTCCACAGGTCCTGGTTGTCAGTGACTTCATTTATTTGTTATTGGGCCAGACTTTATATATAAGCCTTAGCATACATTTGGTTATTTTGAAGTTATTTTCAGCTGTGCCCTGCTGGGTTCTAGAGCAAATAGCTCATTTTTAAGAAAATAAGAAAAACGAAGTACTCTTTCAAAATCTAAATTCCTTTTGCATAAATATTACCCATGAATACAGACTTTGCAGTATTGCAAAGATCTGGTTGCACAAGATTGGAAAATGGCAGTACCTAGAGTTCCATCATTTGCCTGGATTGAAGAGCCATTAGTCATCACAGCAGGTCGATTTGTGTTCTTGTGAAGACAGTCCTTGGCTCTGAAATATTACCTAATCCAGAGGATATTTATAGACACAATCATATTAGCTTGGCCTTTAGTTCCCAGAGAACATAGGTTACTTTTAACCAGGCAGTCATTTAAAGGACGAATGTGTACAGTCTTAAATGAAAATACATTTTATCACACCAGCCTGTGAAATGTGGGATCCTCTGTAAGATCTGGAAGCGAGAGATCAGTTGATTAGAACGAGTTATGCTGTGACCTGTCTCCTGCATCTGAGTTTCAACATTCTGCCCTGTTTTTCTGTAATGCTTACCCTACTGTAGACTGGAGTAAAACTGCTACTAATGGTTTAAAGAAGCAGACTGTAAACCAAGGAGTGTCGAGCTCTTCAAATTCCTTACAGTCAAACAGTAACTCCACCCAGTCCACCACGCTGCTAGTGAATAATGATTGCTCAGGACTCACGAGTGGAAACGGTACGTTATGTCTCAATGTAGTATTTCTCAAGCTAGTGTTTGTTGTATTAAAGCACTTTTATCCTTTAATGGCATTTTTGCTAAGCAAAGTGTATAATTACATGTATGACTAGTGGATCAAAATGTGGTTCCCTTATTAAAGAGAAAGTTTATTAATCCAAGTTCATTCATTTTAGAGCAGGTTTTTTTTTTAAGATTTAGGGGTTTTTTGTTTTTTTAAAAGATTTCAGTCTTCATGATGGGAATTGATGACGACCTAGAAGTTTTAATGTGGCAAATCCTGACTTAAGTATTGCCCAAAGACTTCAGTCCTATGCTATTTCTGTGCAAGCAGTACCTAAAATAGTCAGTAAGACTATATCAATTTTTTAGTATATCTATAATTATACACATCTTCAACACTTTTAAACCTTCCTATTTTTTGCTTGTCATGTTTGTTCATTCTTTTCCACAGCGTGGCTGCCTTGTGACAGTGCCCAAATCCCCATGAATATATCAAATACTGAAAGATGAATTGTGACCTGTATTGGTGACTATATATGTCTCCAATATACATACAGATGATTGCTGCTGTGCCTCCTTTACTCATTAATTCTGACATTTCTAGCTAGAACTTCCATTACGTTTTCTTTGTTTCATAAGACTGGGCAGTTTATTACTCATAAAAACTTGTCTGTTTCTCTCTTCTTTGGCTTCTTAATATGTCTTTTGCATTTTTATAAAAACTTAAATTCTGCTGGTATACTTTCTCCTTTCCTGGAGAATTTGCCTTTACTTATCATTTTAGAACGACAAATTCAGATAAATTTGTGAGAAGGTTCATATACTTACCAGATAATTTTCTAGCCTCCCAAAGATGGGAGGTCCTACTGGTTTGTATAGACTTTTAAGATACAAGAGGAGGGGCTTCCCTGGTGGCGCAGTGGTTAAGAATTCACCTGCCAGTGCCGGGGACATGGGTTCGAGCCCTGGTCCGGGAAGATCCCACATGCTGCGGAGCAACTAAGCCCGTGTGCCACAACTACTGAGCCTGTGTTCTAGAGCCCACGAGCATTGCAATGAAGAGCAGCCCCTGCTCGCCACAATTAGAGAAAGCCTGTGTGCAGCAACGGAGACCCAGCGCAGCCAAAAATTAATTAATTAATTTAAAAAATTGTTCTTAAATAAATAAAATACAAGAGGAGGCCTCTAAATTAAGGTTTCTCAACCTCGGCACAGTTAACATTTGGGGCTAGATAACTCTCTGTTGTGGGGCCTGTTCTGTGCATTTGAGAGTGTCTAGCAGCACCCCTGGTCTCCACCCATCAGGTACCAGTAGCACCCAGCCGCTCACCACCACCCCCCCCCCAGCTGTGACAACTAAAAATGTCTTCCATTATTGTGAAATGTTCCCTGGGGAATAAAATCACCCCACCCTCCGGTTGTTGAGAACCATTGCCATATCAGATGAGAAACAGTTGCCATGGGGCCTTAGCTCTTTATTGTAGATACCAGAGGGAGAGGTGGGCTCTATGCCAAGTTGCTATAGCGGGAGTGACTCAGTGCAGGTAAACGGAGTAGAGGCAGTGGCAGTCAAGGCTGATTGATAAGTTAGTGGGAGAAACCGAGTTCAAAGTAGAGAAATCAGAGGTGTGAGCTGAGTCATCAAGATCCCTCAGAATCACAACGTATCAGTCAAACCTACTGGTTTGGACAGAAGTGTTTGGGGCTCTTAAAGCCAGATTTTTCCATATTTTAGAAAGAACTCAGAGACGAAGCCTCACTTGCCTAGCCTACCAATATGTTGCCATCCTTCGGGGAATCAGATTGAATGGAGGCAGCACATTTTGCACAACTGTTTGACGTGGCTGATTTCACACAGCTATTTTCCATGGCTGACAGTGAGGATGGGGTACATTTTAGGCCACCAAAATGGCCACGTGTTTAATACCACATAACCTGCACATCAGGATCTGGGATGGATGACAGAAAAAGAAGCTGGAAGTTTAACGGTTTGTTTATTATACCAGGTCAAATTGTTCCTGCACAAGAATGTCCTCGAACCAAAATGCCTAAATCAGAACAACAGCCTCAGACAGTCACTTGCCCATCTCTATGCCCAGAGATGGAGCTGTGTTAGCCACATCCATCACCTAGTGTGTGTGAATACTACATATTTCAGTTATGCCTTGGAGGCTTGGCTACTAGCAGCCATGTCACTCAGTACACAGGGCCACAAGCTCACAGTTTGGAAGAGACATCACATGTTGACTTTCGCTTCTGAGCCATGTAACCTTAAGCAAAGCACTTACTTTCTGACGCCTTAGTTCCATCGTCTGTGAAATGGGGATAATAATAGCACTCATCCCGTAGGGTAGTAAATGAGATAATTCTTATAAAGTTCTCAGCACTGTCATTATTTGTATAATTATGGCATGAACTGACAGTTGGGCTTATTATTCAGCTTTCTACATTGTCTTCAAATGGTGTAATGGTCAAAAAGATGGTGCCAAGGAGCTAGAGGATCTCAGCAGCTGCGCGCCCCCCCCGCCCCCCACCCCCCCCCTTGTCCCCTGCAGGCTCACACACCCGCTCGGGCCTGCAGGGAGGCGGGCGCCCCCCCCCCCCCCCCCACACACAATTCAGGGTCTGCCTGGGTTTGGGGAGGCCCACCTGCTCCCTGGCCTGGACTCTGAGGTTGGACTCTGTTGTTTCCTCCTGGGAATCGGTCTTATCCTGATTTAGTCAGAGGGGCTGGTTTAGTGTATGAGAGATGACTTTTTTTCTTGCCAGGACTGTTGTTACTCTGGGTTTCTCTGGTACAAAGTTTTACTTTATAGGAATCTTAGGGAACTGAGAACCTTGTGAGGGATCTCTGTTAACCTTTGGGAGAGACCAGAATATTACCTTAAGTTAAATTACACATACGCTACTACTTGAAGGCAATATATGTTCAACCAGAGTTAGGAAATGGGCCTTTTAAAATCAAAAACATTGCTTTGCTTCATATTTTGACCGTTTCATTTAAAAAAAGCTGCCATAGAGAGCTGGTTTCTGAATCATTCTCCAATTTGTTTTGCTTACTTTGAGTGGTCTTAGGAAAGGAATGAAAAGTAAATAAAATATGACAATATATCAGACATTTTTTTTTTTAAAAAAGACATGCTCTGGGCTTCCCTGGTGGCGCAGTGCTTGAGAGTCCGCCTGCCGATGCAGGAGACGCGGGGTCGTGCCCCGTTTCGGGAAGATCCCACATGCCGCGGAGCGGCTGGGCCCGTGAGCCATGGCCGCTGGGCCTGCGCGTCCGGAGCCTGTGCTCCGCAAATGGGAGAGGCCACAACAGTGAGAGGCCCGCATAACGCAAGAAAAAAAAAAAAAAAAAAAAAAAAAAAGACATGCTCTACGTGTGCATACTTAAGAATAAAGTGACGTTTGTTTATTTTGAAAATGCTTTCTATAGGAGCAGTTCCACGTGTAGATGCATTTCTGATGTATCTGTGGGGAGACGGGTGATCCCCGCGTCCTACTCTTCCGCCATCTTCTCCTGTCCCCTGAAAATGCTTTCTGTGGACACTTCATGACGCTGATTTTGTTTTTCCTCATACAGCGAACGCTTCTACAGAGAAGAATGGTTTTTCTTTCAATCTTCAGAATGGAGATGTGTGCCTCCATGATTTCACTGGAAAACAGCACATGTTTAATGAGAAAGAAGATTCTTGCAGTGGTAAAAACCGTATCGCTCTAAGAAGGACTTCAAAGCGGGGAAGCTTACACTTTATTGAGCAAATGTGATTCCTTTTCCTAAAATCAAAGCATGTTGCTTGACAGTGTGAAAATGCCCAATCTTATTTTTTACACAATGTGAGTTGTATGAAAATCAACTAATTTTATACTCAGCAACTTCTGGAGGAGCATAAGCTAATTGAGGGCAATGGTTGCTATTGGAAGAGGAAACCAAGACGTTATACCATGGGTCTTACACATTTGTGATTTGGTTTCTTACCCTTCATTTTAAAAGAAGACTGGTTTTAAACAACACACTAAGAATAAGACTCGTTTTTAAAAAATCAAAGTAGTTCATTTCCAGCCCCAGTTAAAGATGCTAAGTTATCTTTGATAACATCATATAAAGCCACTGTTGACTTCGGCCTGTTGGTGGGTTTCGTTGTGCATGCATTTGTTGTAAATAAGATAAAATCTAGTGACCCACATGTCAAAAATCTTACTTCTCCATTTTTGGTATTTATTTTCTACTGTGTAAATTTCTTTCTTTGTAGAATCACGGTTGTGTTGTTGTGTCTAATGTGATAATTCAGAAAATCCTTGCTGATTCAGTGACCTCTAAAGCTCCTTTTGGAGATTATATGGGATGTGAAATACAGGAACTTCACTGAAATCAAGAAATAATGACGCCAGCCAGACTGGAAAAATGTAAGCAGATAGTGCCACAATTAGCTCCTACAGTGCCTTGGAGTGAGTTAGGAAAAGGTGCCCCCACTGGGCAGACACAGCCCCATGGGCTCGTGATTTGGCAAACAGAATGAGGGCCATATTTTAGCCCCACTCACCCTCTTGGGTGCACCGTTGTTCAGGGTACCACCTGTACAACTGTACATAGCATCCAATACTGACACCCATCTCCTGACCTCTTCCCTAATCATCAGATTATGGAAGCTGCACCAAGATGTTTAGCTTAATACCTTGGTCACAGAGAGGGAAGGAACTGTAATCTAGACCATATGGTAGAAAAATCATGACTGTGGAAGAGATACATACACTGCCACTTCTCAAATCCCCAGAGCCTTTCAGAAAAGGGGAGTAGAGTAGGATTACTTTTTAAAAGAGATGTACATTAAAAAATATCATATTGCTGTTCTTTAAAAAGCAACTGCATGGTACTTTGTTGATTGCTATGACTGGTACACTCTGGCCCAGCCAGAGCTATAATTATTTTGTTTTAAAGAATTGTCTTGATGAGTGTATAGTGACAAGGGGGAGCAGCTATTGGGAACAGTGAACTAGCCTGCAATGCTATTGTTTTCATATGTATCAAACCCTGATTGCTCCTAGTCATAGCGAGTCTATCTTGCTTCCTACCTACAACTGCTTGAGCAGTGCCTCAAGTATGTCCTTACTAGGAACATTTCAAAAACCTTTAGTTAGGTCTTTCGCCAAGGTTCCCTTGCATATATTTCAAGTGAACGTTGTATCCCAGACTAACCACAGTAATAATGTAATACACTTCTGTGAGTGCTGATTTGTCTTTGCAATATTTCTTCTCCGATTTATTTAATTGTCTTGTATTTATACGTTAAAATGGACAAAAATGTTAAAATTGCCAAAATAAATTTGCAGTTAAGCCCTTTAAGTTTGAGAACTTTCACAAAAGGAAAACATTTGTGGTCTCTTTCCCTTGCCAAAATAAATTTGCAGTTAAGCCCTTTAAGTTTGAGAACTTTCACAAAAGGAAAACATTTGTGGTCGCTTTCCCTGGTGGTGGAGCTTGGAAGCGGTAGGACCACCCTGAGGAAGGCAACTCGACAGTAGCATCCTTTGGCAGGCGGCAGGCACGCTGTGACCGTGAAGTCAGAGCAAGGATTGTCCTGCCTCCCGAGATTGCTTTCTGAGGTCTCTTTTTCATTTTCCTCTTGCTCTTTCAAGATCATGTCTTTAACGCACGTTGACGTTGGCTCACACAAGCCCCAGATTTGGGTCCCCTCCAAGTGTCTGTTTCCTCAGCATCAAACAGTAGGATTTCAAGAAGGTGAGGATCGGAATTGGGGTTTCTGGGGAGCTGATTAGCATATAGGAGCCACAAATGGGGAAAGCTGGCCTCAGCTCCACAAGAGGTCTCTGAGCAATCTCTCCTTCCACGATGCTCAGTTGCCTCAAAGATGTTGAGTACTAATTTGATGAGAGAGGTGGTGAGATACTCTAGATTTGGGGGTGAGATATCAGAAACCAAATCTCCCAAAGCAGATTATGTAAACAAAGTGTACACAAAAGGATACACAATGTCTGACAACCTTTAGGGCCTGCCCTCCACCCCTTATTTTTCCTATTGTGTTTTGTGTCTGGCTACAGTCCTTAAGCCAAATTCTCGTCTGTATTTTTACTTCAGACAGGTGAGGGGCAGGACAGAGAGAATGTTCCTCAGCAGCATCCTCCTTTGGCTTTCAAATTGGTCCCACAATCTGAGACTCTACTGAAGGAGACAAAGGTGGTGGCAATATGAGGAGGCAAGGAGTATCACAACAGTGGCCAGTATTTGAAGGAGTATTTTCTCAGAACATTCGAGAATTTGTTTTGTTTTGTTTTGTTTTTCCCCCAAAACACTGCATTCATTAATCCCACAAAGTAACTCTGTTAACTTCAATGAACAGCATCATGATTGTTCTCAGTTAAAAGGGTGAAATGTCTTCATTGGAGATACTGGGTTGTGTCTAACGAGGTCACCTAGGAGGCAGGCTAGTTTGTTGAAGGTCATTTCCACAAAGAGCTAATTTACTGAACAAGCAATTTATCAAATGAACTAGCGCGTTGTCACTTTGTCTCCATAAGAGCATTTTAAGGACTATTGAGTTTGTCTCTGCTTCAGCTCCTCGCTACTGCGGTTGGAGTCTGAAGGACGGACAGGAGAAGACAAGACTGAGTGAACGTAAGAACATCATCTGGAACGGGAAGAATTCTTAGCAGTATATTCTTTTTTTCTTTTCACCTCAGTCTCTAGGTACAGCATCAAAAAGTTGGGGTGGGGCTTCCCTGGTGGCACAGTGGTTGAAAGTCTGCCTGCCGATGCAGGGGACTCGGGTTCGTGCCCCGGTCTGGGAAGATCTCACATGCCGCGGAGCGGCTGGGCCCGTGAGCCATGGCCGCTGAGCGTGCGCGTCCGGAGCCTGTGCTCCGCAACGGGAGAGGACACAACAGTGAGAGGCCTGCGTACCGCAAAAAAAAAAAAAAAAAGTTGGGGTGGACAAAAATTGAATGCATTCTTCCAGAATGTGTTCTTTTAAATATATTTACAGGACTTCCCTGGTGCCACAGTGGTTGAGAATCCGCCTGCCAATGCAGGGGACACGGGTTCGAGCCCTGGTCCGGGAAGATCCCACATGCCGCGGAGCAACTAAGCCCGTGCGCCACAACTACCGAGCCTACGCTCCAGAGCCTGCGAGCCACAATTACTGAAGCTCAAGCGCCTAGAGCCCATGCTCTGCAACAAGAGAAGCCACCACAATGAGAAGCCCGCGCACCGCAATGAAGAGTAGCCTCCGCTTAACACAACTAGAGAAAGCCTGAGCGCGGCGACGAAGACCCAATGCAGTCCAAAATAAATAAATAAAAATAAATAAAATAAAATATTTATAGAAATATACCTTGCTATGAAGAAATCTTATGCACCCTGGTGTTTCTCTCTTTACCTCTCAGTCTCAAACTAGCTGCAGGAAGCTGGAGCAGAGATACGTTCAGCATTCTTTAAAATATTGTGATTAAAAACAAAATGATCTCCAGTCAACTAAAATTAAATTGTCATAGAAATAATTTGGCAAATTGGCTATTTTCAGCAAATTAATTCAGAACAGACCCTCTCTTCTGTGTCAAAGATGGAGGGCTTTTCTTTAGAGTCAAAGACCTGAACCCTCCAAGAGAAACATTTGTTGGTTTCCACCTTGGATGCTGACATGTGGCTCCCTGGGAACTTCCTTGGCAGAAGCTCCCCGTGGCAGGACAAGGGGCAGACCCTCTGGTTGGGGTCAGAGAAATTATACATAGTGCTACCTCAGGGTCTAGTTTCAGACTTTCATCTTTATAAAGATCATGAATCAGCTTCAGAAACAACAGCATACCCCATCACATTCCATATCTGATTCTTAACAATTTGAGAAATGACTCGGAGATGGGTTTCTATTGGGACACAACCAGAGAATGGCTTCATGGATATAGGGACCAAGATATGGAGGTTTTATATCTCAGGGACATAGAAATCTAAGATATGAGTCTGATTTTTATATAGCAGAACTTGTAGTCCAAAAAGAATCACTGAAATTTGCTTGGAGATTTAAAAGCTAAAAAGTAACAGCCTTCCTTCTTTTTGGTTTTATTCCTGAATTTCAAGCTTACTGAAAAATACAGCTTATATGATAATATACATTAAAGCATAGACCAAAGCCTAAGAATGTAGGCTGGCTATACACCAAAAGAGGTATATGTGTGTAGCAGAATTTACAAAGAATGAGATCAAGAGACTGAAAATGTTTCTATCCTGGATGGAAATGTCAGGTAATATGTAAAGGTCATCAGTTATTTTCCCCTGTGGCTACAAAATGGACTCTTCAAGAAGAACTCACTGTGAACAAAGGCAGTAATGAAAGGAAGCAATAATCCCAGCTTTTAGATACAGTATATGTGAGAGTTCTGTAAGAGTACATATTCACATTCCAAGAGATTTAATGGTGATAACTTCATGTCTAGTTTTATTTACCCCTAGACCATAGCAAATTTTGCATGGAGGCCCATCACGTGGATTGCTGCATTATTTAAGAGCCAATAGTAAGAAAACAGAAAGTAAGTGAGATAATGGGTTTGGTGCTTTAGTCGAGTGACACAGATTTATGTTATGGAATTTTGAAAATGAACTTGGTTAAGGATGATACATAGGGGACCCAGCTGAACATGACTTATTTTCTTTCATTGATTCAGTACCAATTGATCTATAACTCAACACTCAACACTGTACCAGGTACGGTAGGAGATACCAAAACTGTTTCAATGAGTAACTTACAATTCAGTTAGAAAAACATGCCTCACATGAAAACAATATGAGCAGAGTACATTGTTGTCAAATGACGGAACCAGCTATGATTCATGAAGTACTTTTCTATGAGCCAAGCATGGTGCTGAGTGCTTTATATTCACCCTCTTGTACAAAGCCACCCTAGGAGGTAGGTGCTATTATTATCCCCATTTTACAGATGAGAACATTGAATATCAAACAGCTAAAACATCCCAAAGCTCGCACCACTTGTAAATGGCAGAACTGGAATTTGAACTCAATTTGAACTGACTCCAAGACCTAAGTTCTTACTAAAGAAATTGTTATGGGAATTCAGAGAATGGGGAGGGCTAATACTGAAGAGCCAAACAGGCCCTTAAAGCAAAGACAAGCTTCAGATAGGCAAGGAGGAGGAGGAGGCCTACTGGGTCAAGCATACAGTAAATGCATGGAGACTAGCAAAGGGCTTGAGTTAAGGATATTAGCTGAGCTGTCCTCTGGAATTAACATGGGACCAGATTTTGGTGGAAAATGAACAGTGGGCAGAAGATTGTAAACACTGTGGGTAATGATCGGCCACGAGAAACTGTAATGTCGAGTTTCAAGTTGCAGGTCTGGAGATGGACTGCAGGCCAGGCCCGGTGAGCTTCTCCCAGGTGACTAGTGGCGAGGCCGCAGGCGCGGGGGGCAGCTGGGGGACCCTGCTCTGCCCCAGTCGCCCCCTCTCCTCTTCCCCCCTGGGCCCCACTACTCTACTTCCGCTCGTGGGTGCAGACGCGCCAGGGGCAGAGCTACTATTAAGGCCCGCGGAGGGGTTCCCAGGCAGCCGCAGTGGGCGGACCTATTTCTCCCACCTCTGGTGAGGTTGGCAGCCCATTCCGGGGCCCTCCCCACGGCCGCTTGGGAAGGAAGCCTTGTCCCCCGCCCAGAGTCAGTCCTTTATCTCCGCAACTGCGAGCTTTCTGCTCCGCGACGGCGGATCATGGGGCGGTGCTAGAGGGCGGGGCCAGGGATGGGGCTGTAAGCTCATCTCCGGGCTGGGCGAGGCCGCCAGCGACAGAGCGTGTTAGGGGTGTTCCGGGCCTCAGGCCCGGCTCCGCGGATTCGGCTCCGCGCCGGGGGCGGGCCCGGGGCGTCCAGATGCCCGCGACGGAAGGACCTATTTCAACAGCCCCCGCTGAGGTCGGCGGCCGGCGGGGAGTTAAGGGGCTCGGAGAGGCAAGCGTTTCCGCCCGGAGCCAAGTTCCCCGCTGCTCTCGGGAGCCACCTCGTTTTCCTTCCCCCACTGGATGCGACTCGGAGGGTTCCGTTCCGCGACGGGGGCGCGGCCGGGGACTGGGCTGCGAGTAGGTTGCGGCAGGCGGGTCGGATAGAGTTCGCGGCCGGCCCCGAGGCCGTCTCACGACAGCCCGAAGACAAAAAAGACTCGGCGGGGGCATCGTCGCCCCACGCCCGGAACCCAGTTCCCCACTTCTCCCGCGGGGCCGCGAGAGATCCGCGAGCGTCGGGAGGGCTACGGACCTGGTCAAGGCGGGGCAGCCATAGCGCCAGCCCCTTTCTCCTCCTCCGCGCCTTTCAGCAGTAAGAAACTCTAGTTGGCTTGCTTTCCAATCATAGTTTGGTTCTGTCATTTTAAAAAGTCTCTACCTCCTAACGCCGGGCTCCATCTCGAGAACTGACCGAGGCTGTGAGTGCTTAGGAACCGGGCCCGCTCGGCGGCCGCATCCCGGGCGTCCCACCTCCTTGCAGCAGGTCGGAAGCCGAGTCCCCGGAGCAACGCGGAGATGAGGAGCAGGAGCAATTCCGGGGTCCGCTTAGACGGATACGCGCGGCTGGTGCAGCAGACAATCCTGTGTTACCAGGTAAGGAGGGACCACCCCGAACTGCCATCTCGAGGCACTTATTCTCCTACCCAGCCCCCTCTCGTGTCCTGAGACTTTGCAGTTAAGAGGAAATTTCCTCTTCAAATCCAGTCCTTGCTGGCCGATGGTTACTCCCCACCCCGTGCACTTTACGAGCCAGGGGACCTAAGGGCTGTGCGGCTACACTGCACAGGATTCTTTGACCGCTGTTTGGGATCGAAGATAGAAGGAGCCCCCTGGGTGCCCTGAGTACAAAATGCGTCTTTCTGCATTGACTCTGCTGCTTTTGGATGGAAGGTGTGTGTAGGTTGGACAGAGCACACTGAATGAGGATGGTGAGCTCTGGACTGCGAGGACAGTAGACAGGAGTGAAGAAACTCCTGAGGTGTGCATCCCACTCCGGGGTGTGTGGCGACTGCTGCTATTCTGCCCTTGAATTATCTTGTTGGAGACCCACCTGCGAGGGTCTTAGGGCGTACTCTGGTTGCTATTTTACAGATGAGAAAACTGCAGGCCAGAAAGGTTACTGCAGGTAGCAGAGTTAGACCCAAATGGAGGTCTTCTCCCAAGTTTGGAGGGGATCTTCGAAGCTGCCCATGTTGTCTTGAGGTATGGAATGTCTCCTGTTTTGTATTACCCGGCTAAAGTTATATCTAGGCCCATCATGTAAGACCGCTGGACTATTTTTATTCCTAGTGAAGACAATAGCTATGTTGCTTGCCCTCAATCAACAGCAATTATTTATAGGAGCTCCACGTCAGAGAAGGAAGTGGCCTTCCAGGGTAGAGGCCTGGCCTTCAAGTTGGGAGCCATGGTCACTCCCAAGCCACTGACCGTTTTCCCTGTAGCCAATTTCACAGCCTTGTTTCTTCATTCAGGAAATATTTATTGTGTACCTATTATGTGCAAGGCACTCTGTCAGGTGCTGGGCCTACAAAGAAGAATAAATACTTGTAATGCAGTGAGATTTATGCGTAGGGAATAGGTCCAGAGTCCCTTGTCTGAAACTCCTGGGGTCAGATGTGGTTTGCAAGTCAGCAGTGTTTGGATTTTAGGAAGGTAATATACATATATATTCTCTAGTAATTGCAGTGAAGTCTAGGCAGCACCCTTAATCAAACACATTATTATTTTCCACATTGGAATATGAAGATTCACACTGAGTAGGAAAAGTAAAGACTGAAAGTAGTTTCACATCAGGTCACCTTTTGCCACCAAACGAGCTTGCTGCAAAATTATGGAAACACTTTAAATTTTCAGAGCATATTGGCTTTTGAAATTGCACATGAAGGACTGTGGTTCTTATTTTGGGAGCTTAGCCCAGTTTGGGGAGCAGGGAGGAGTCCTGGAAGAGACTATGTTCAAGCTAAGAACTGAAGAAGAAGTAGCCAGGCAAAGGGGGTGATTTTTTTTTTTTTGGCCTTCCTCTTTGGAATATATTATAATTACTTCTACAAAGTGTTTTAAAAATCCAAGTTGAAAATCCTGGCCCTTCATTACTCTGATGGAAGGGGCTTTAAGGAGAACTGATCAAGCTTGGTTCTTGTGTCACACCTGGGTTTGAATCTCTAGCTCTTCCTTCAACTACAGGTGTAACTGTTTCCCAGCCTCTCTGAGACTATGCCCTTATCTGTAAAATGAGGATATAAACACCTGTGATTACTGCCCAGTATGTTGCCTGCCCCCCCCCCCACAGTAGGCAGTCAGCAAATAGTGAGTGCTGTTGGTGGTGGTATGATTTTGTTATAGGCCACACATATCCAGGCCACAAGTCCTCGCCTCACCACCCTGGCCCAGGATGCTCTTTTTCCTGAAGGCCTTGATACAGCTACTAATTGCTTTCTGGTCTTTGAACATAATTATGTCTCCTCATGGATCCTGTGAGATCCCTAAGCACAGAGACCTCATCAGTTTCATTCCTTTTGCATCAAGCAGTGCTCCAGGCACGTGAAAAATACCCTTAAGTCCTTGTTGATAAAGTATGTTCTGCAGGCTCTGAGCCATCCTAATGGCCCAGCTATTGATCCAAGCTTACCTTCCCTCAGGAGCAAAAGAACTGTCTTCCCATTAAAGCAAATCTGCAGCATTGGACATTCCTCTCCAACATTTTTTTTTTTTTTTTTTTTTTTTTTTTTTTTTTTTTTTT